GAATTGGAATGATTCAAATATATAATTTTTTTCTTTTATAATTTTTGATATTATATTATATTTTATTAGACTGGTAATAGCGGATTTATTTTAGTAATCAACATTTTAGAGCTTTTAACTTGATAATTCATTGAAGTGTTCTTAAAAAAATTGTAACTAGTTTTTTATTATAATTTTTTTATATTTTAGCTTATTTTGGGTATGTTTATGGTCATTTGAAGGCACAAACATTGAAATTACGTTTATTTTTCTAAATATTAATTAAATATCGTCCATTATTTTGATTAATTCATGTTTGACTTTGTAATGATTTTATTTAAAATGCTAATGATTAGATTAATTTGTAGATAATTTACTTATATAAAAGATCAAGGTCTATTTAGAGCACAAAACATTATCACTAAAGCGGAATAACAAAACAACAAAGCGATAAGCGAAATAATTGATTATCGTTTAGAGGGTTTAGGCTCTTCACCTCCGCACAGGTTTCCGGTTAGATGCAGCTAATAGTAGGCAAGCGAATAGCCCCTATGTCGCCATGCAGGAAGGATCCGATTGCGATCAGGCGGAGTGCTTCGACTCGCGTGCGGGACCTCATCGGTTGTTGTTGTGTTGTTGTTTGCTCTGCGTATTGTTTCGTGCGAAATTAATTACAACGATAGGCCGAAGGTGTTTGCTTGCTATCAAAACTTTACACTTGACCACACACAATCACCTCTGATCTCTTCGAATATATTTTAATATCTTTTCTGCTGAGTTTTATGCTCTGGCGGTTTTTAAGAAGAGGATTAAGCTAGGCAACACATTTTACATTTTCCAGCATGCAATTTCAAATTTGTGTATGTGTTAATGTATGGCGGGTAGACTAAATGCGAAGCGACAGTTTGAAGCGCACTCGATTTTAATCCGCAGCTCTAATGGATGTTTGCCATCACGATTTAGGACTTTGCGTCGCGTCTTCGCTCGTGTCTTCACTTACTGCCCGCTCGCATTTATTAATGATTGTCAATCAAACGAGATGAAAAGCATGCGAAGCGGGTGACTTTTTCCATCCCCCGCTGGAACATGGCGTGAGGGTTTCGTCATCGGTGCACACTGTGAGCGGCGTTTTAATGGTCCCTTTCACTTTCCATGAGAATAAAGAATAAGTGTCCCGTGGGACGTGAGCGCAGACAGCGGCCAAAAATGAAACATGAAACAGGCGAAAATCTAAATTTTTTATTTTCTGTTGATTTTTGGGCACAAAAAATTTATAAAAATATTCTTTGTTTATTTTGATTATATTTTTTTTTTGCAACAAATGAAAACCTAAATAACGTGTATAAGTATGTCCCGAAGCACTTTTTCTTTGAAAACCGCTCTTCATTCGGTTAATGAATAAAAAACAAATTCGATGCACGCAGGAAAAAAATTGAAGAGCTCAGGGAAGAGAGAAAAAAAAAAACATAAATTATATTTATAATCATGCCTTCCGGGTAGATTCTTTGCGAAAAGAACAAAATATCGTCCTTTGCGTGCATCGCAGTCCTTCAAAATGTGCACAACGTACGCGCGCCGCGTAAAAAGCACATTTTTCCGGTTCGAAACAGTTTGGGATGCGCAGTGTGGCCGTTAATGGAAATTCGTAATCGGCTAAAAGGCAAACAAAACGAGACGAGCGAGACTCGCCGTGGACCAGAGAGCCGAAGCGAAAAAAAGCAAACATTCAACATTAATGGAAATTAATTACTTAATTGTTTTAAATTCGTTTATGTAAAGACCACATTTTGTCGATTTTTCAATTAGATCCAGCCTCAAAAATATTTTATTGTTAATATCTAGCTGCAGCAATAAACTAAACTGTTAGATATGGGCGGTTGTAGATCGTGTTCATTCATATTCTATAACAGTCTGGTATATTCACGGTGTAATTTACGATCGGTGTGAATCGGCTCGTTGCGGGCGTTTTGGGGGTTGGTTGGTTTATGACTTAAGTACAATTCAGGGTGCAGCCGCGTGTGCATCTCTCAATAAATTTGAATGAATAATTCAGCCCCGGCCGGGAGCGGGTTGCCGCTGACGCTAAGACATTAGCGGCACTTTCGTGCGCACCGCGCGCGCCCGAAAACTAAAGGTGAGGGCGTGCATTTTTAATGCAACGTAATGCAGATTACACCCCGGCTTCAAGCACATCTCCGGGCGCGTTGTTTTCCGCTGAGCAATTAGCACATTTTAGTGCCGCTTGTTTATGCGCGCACATTAACTACATTCACCGTTGCCGTAGCTTTCAGAAAAGCGAAAAACTTTGATCACTTTGCAGCGCTAAGTGGCTAATCGTCATTGACGCTTGAAATCGTTCGATTCAACACGCTTTCTTCGCATTAATAACACATCAAAGCGAGCGCAGCGCGCAGCGCGATGCTTTTACACTGTATAACTATATACTTACTAGATACAAATAGAGCTTTCGTGTGCAGTGTGTCTGAATGTGTGTTTTGTAATCGCTCATGAGGGAATTACGTCCAGATTACACGCTCGACGTCTAGCTTACTACGCTCACGCAGGCGCAGGCGCGTTTACATCATCGTGAGATAATTGGCATTTTACCTAAGACGCGCTATAAGTCGAAAGGTGCTGATAGGCATCGGCCACGGTTATGGGTTTCGGCTGATCGGTCGCGCGGCAACCCGGGGCCCGTTTGCTGTATAATCGTAATCGGCGGCGCTCTCATTAAGTTGCTATAGCGATTCCAACGGATACTGCTACTATACTCAAGCCATACTAAAATAATAAGATCTCAACGAGTGCTTAACATCCAGAAATAATATTTTTTACTCAAAAATATTAAAACAAAATTTTTAAATCAAAAAACTAAGAAAAATTTCTTTCACAGACGCAAAAACATTGTGTGTACCTACATTTTGTATAAATTTATTTTACATGTCTGGACTATATTCACCTGCGGAGATGCAGTAATAATCTTGTAATCACTAATAATACGTGATTGTTGCTCCTTGAAGAAACTAAAACTCTCACAACGCTTACTTAAGTATATCTTAAGTATATCTAGATAAAAGTGCTCTCACCGGATGAAAAAATAAGAATTAAGGTTATGTTTATCTCATAATATGTGTACATGTACTTTTTCTGTGACGCGCGTTACGTCTAATTGATTTCGATGTTTTATTGGCCCATTTTGTATCCGCATCGCACGCTCCGACACGCCGCTAGCTCACCCACACCCCCAAGTACACATGGGGTGAGTGTCGCACAATACGACGGGCCACGCGACATATTGTACGTGTGCGCGAATCATATGAGTGACTTTACGACCACAATGTGTACACTCGCAAACAGTAGCTCCTTTACAATATAACTTAATAACTAAATTCGACAATTGACGTACGTTCGGGTACATACTGAGGCGTGCTAACGCAAGCCTCGGCCGAAATTTGCAAAAGCGTGTCATGGAACCGCGGATACCTTCAATGAAAACTTTAAACTTCTATTCATATCAACGAAATTTGGTAATGCGAGTGTGTATTGAATGTGACTTCCGGTTTTCCGGTTTGTGGACGTAAATTTTAACTCTCGTTGGGTGTAGTTGCGAGGGAAAAAAGAAGGTCTGGTCCGGCATGGCACCGAATTTCTTGCGATTGCACTTGTGTTGGGTTTGGCTTGAATCCGCCGGGCCGGCAAAAAGTTCGCATTTCGTAACTGGCCGCAAGCGGAAATCGGTAAAAACGGCGTCACAACAAACAAGCTAATTGATTTCAACAAAACGCCCCGGTCGAAAGTTTTCGGTATACATTTAGCAACATCTATAATTTGCTGTGCCGCTGGAAAGTAAATTAAATAAAAACCTGTTTATGCAGAGTGTCACAAAGCGCGCCAAGATGGCGTGTGTTGTGCCAGCGTGATGAGAAAATAATAAAAATACGTCGGAATTAAATTCAAATATTATTCTTTTCTCTCTGTGCATCTGTCGGTAAATGAAGTCGCAATTCGCGAATTTGTTTGAGGTTAAGTTACAGTCATTGAGTTTGGTTATTAACGACACAACATTAATTATCAACGATTAATCACGCGGTGTGTGCAAGGAAAGTTATTTTTCCAATTTGACAATCGCTTTCATCGAATTTCCCTCGGGACGGACAGGCAGTGTGCCTTTCTTTACATTTCGCCTCCGCTTTGTGTGTGTACTCCTGCTGTTTCAACGGTGCTCCTGCCTGCCGCCTGCGTTTTGTTTCCGGTGCGTGTGCGAGTTTTCGACTCTTACTTTCTATGAGTTTTGTGCGAGAGGAGGGCTGTCGTCGCGCGACGTGCGTTGTGTTTGATGACGGCAGCAGACGGCAGGCGCGATGGGGGCGGCGGCTGGAGGCGGCGAGCGTGGTCTCGATACAATATATCTTGGTAGTCCGTAAACTATTAGACGCTGATAATGATAAAGCACCTAATATAATCAAATAAAGATCGAGTACCGCACCGGGGGGTCTTTGCGCGCCGCCGCCGCTGTTGGCTGCGGGAGGACGAGAGTGGAAAGCACGCAGCAAGGGAAAATCTAAGAAAACAGAAGGAAACCGGTGGGAGAATAACGCAAACTTTTGTTTGGCGAATGTGGAAAGTTTAATTCTTGAAAGATTTTAATGTAAAATTATACAGGGTGTTCAAAATTTAAAAAAATTATATTTTACAAAGTATAGGAATAAATTTAGTGTTAATCAGCCAAAATCACAAAAATTAGTAAATTTAGAGTCGTTTTAAAGAAACTATCACATTTTTTCGAACTAAAATGATTAGGTATTGGTTATTTACGTTATCTAATTGAAAAATAGTAAATATTTGTACGGTGTGTTTCATGTACATTGTACATTGTTGTTTCTGCGGTCCACGGCAAGCGCCCGGCGCGCTGCTGCCTCGATGCCTCACGGCCTTATCGCTCGTGCTCTTCGCGTGCGCGCGCGGCACTGCTGCGGATCTCGGCCGAAGAGCGCCGGAGTGGGACTAGTCGTTCGCGGTGGCTCGTCGTGCCAGCATCGTTTTCGCGTGTCGCGTGCCGTACACATTTTCGCTTGCAATCGTGCACCATCGCAGGATACAAACGAGTACATGCAGGATAACCGACATCATGTGCATACTCGTACAGCGTCACAATATTTAAACAATTAACATATTAAAATTATTGCAAATACGGACATAATATTATTGCAAATATGAACGTAAATTAATGCGTGTGTAAATAACTGTAGTGTAAGATGTGGATTTGGATTGTTCGGTAGTGTCCTTGATCGAAAGACGTTTGATATCGTGCGTGTGCGTGATAACTGGATATTGCGATGCAGGTGCGCGCAAGTAACCGAAACAAGAAGAAAACTGAAATGTGTACGATGTTCGGGCTGTGCTGGTGGTTGCTGTGTGTTGGGATAGTGATCGCGGCGATGTCGACCTCAATGTCCTTTGCGGACGCGCTATCAATCACAACACAGGAATATGGTAAATATCAAATATTTCGTATGTAAATAAAAATTTTTTTGTGGAGAGAATATTTTGGTTGGTAGTAAAGGAAGATATTAAATATACGACTTTCCGGGCGGGGTGGCGGGTGTTGTTGTAACGTCGGTTTTAACACAGAGTTGTCGCTGTTGCTGGGGGTGGCGCAGCATGCCGCCCACAACCGCCGACCATGGATTACCATACATTTGTACACACTAGTCCGCGGCAACAGGTCTTAACTTAACACTCGACTCCATTTCGTTCTGTTATATACCATAGCAGTACTAAAAGAAAATAATAATAATAAAATTAGGATTTATTTTGTACCGAGACAGGATTCACTTAAATGTTGGTATGGGTGTGTGTAGTAGATTGAGTTTGTGCTCTTGCCGCAAACTTCAAACGAGAAGGTACTCGATGCTCTTCAAGTGTCTCACGACCGCCCTGTTTTCTATTTTTCTCGCGCCCGCAGGAGTGCGAAAGTTTGCGCTGAGACCTAATTGAAAATCGAAGGAAATAAATCTGCGTTGCCTGATCGGCTTCTCTTTCTGCGCCGCCGTTCGCGGTCTTGCGGCATGTGCCAGCGGTGGTGGTGGCGGCAGGTGAACGCCGCCGGATACAAGCGTGTAACTAACTCGGTCGCCTCAGCGCTTCGATTGAACGCCTTCTTCTTCTCCTTCAAGCGTCCTTTGGTTTTTACCGAGCTGTGGCGGCGAAAAACTTTGCGGAGAAGTAATTTTAATTCGCAAAGTCGAACTGGAACTTTCCGCGCGTTTGTTCAAATGCAAAAACTCAAATTAAAATGTCGAAATTTATTTCTGACCTATATTAAAATCACAAAAAAGATTGACCTTTACATTTCGGACAAAAAAAAACTTTGAGTCTGAAAATCTACGTGAATTTTTTATTTAAAAGAAATATTTTTCTATGTTAATATTAGATAATTAAATTGTGCATTTATAAACAAGTTTTTGTGGATATTGGTTAATAATTAGCTGAGGTATAATCTGAAAACTATAAAAAATTGTAGTTTTGGTTTTATTTGAGTTTTGGAAAAATCCGCAAAAACAAATGCATTTAAAATAATTATCACGCACAATATGAGGCATTATCATCGCTGGAAATAACAATCCTACCGTGTTTGGAACACAAGAGAAGAATCCGGCGAAATTGTGTTTTGCGTTGAACGCCGAGATTTTCCGCGTGTTCTCGAAAACGCTCGCGGAAGAAAGAGCAAACCGGGCGCGCGCGCGAGCTCGCGATTGTTTGCGTTCTTTTAGCATGTGCGGCCGGGGGTTGCGCACAATGGCGCCCGCCGCGGTGGAACAATAGCGCCATCATCATCAGCGCGGATCATCAGTGTACGGCTTTTTCGCACAGACAACCATCGCCGGCACCGGGCGCGGGACGCGGAAAAGGTCAATAGACAAAAACGAAAATGCAATGAACGAAAGCCGCGAGATGCGGGAGACACAGAGACACCGCCACGATGGGGTTGAGGTGGGACGCAACGATGCAACCGGCTGCAGAGTGCGAAAAACGTGCGAAAACAATGCGCGGGCGCGCGTTCCATGTAAATGACATCTAGCCAGGCGTATGCGATAAAAGGACGCGCGCAGAAACATGCAGGACAAATAAATTAAGAGCGAAAAAAAAAACAAATTTTGTTTTTACGCCATAGAAAAATAGAGCCGGTGAAGAATGGCTTTTCTCTTCGCGGCACACAATGGACGACATATTGTCCACGCTCGTGTTGAACAACCCTTTTAACCCTTTCAATTCGTACAACTACACAAACACGCCGGTTTCGCACGCGAATAAAATTAAATTTATTTAAATTACTCATAATAATGATAACATGATAACAGATGAGTCAATATCTGTTAATTTTGAGCCGGGGGTTCCCGGGGGTGGTTTGGTTATTTGTCTGATGGGGGGGTGGTGTTAATTGTCTGCATACCGAGCACGCCGTGTTTGTTTGTCTTATTACATTACGCAGCCGGATGATAATGAACGACGATAGTATACCTACCTACCCCTTTTGCGCCATAACCTCGTATCGTCCCTCAGCGCCACCAGGGATGCGCGCGCGGGGGGTTCATGTTCATAGCTTCATGATCTCTCGGTGCGTTTCATTCGATACGCAAATACTCGCACCCCTTCCGTACGCGCACTTGACGTGACACGGTGTAACCTTGCGAGAGGGATGACATTAACAAAAAGGGTTCGTTACACACCGACGTAAGTAGTGCGCGCGAGGCGTAATGAAATAAAAAATCAAGCGCGCTGCGCGTAATCCGAGACGAGCCGGGCGAGAGACAGCCCGTAAACAAACAAACACCCCATCGAAACATCGGCAAACCCTCGAGAACTTGCAGCACGAGTGTCGAAACTAGCAGAAGTGCTTCGAGTAAAGACATAAAGAGAGTACTTTATGCTTTGGGGAGATATTAATTCTTTGGGGGATCACTATCATTATTCACTTTTTCATAACTTTTCTTTATTCTATTCATATCTCAACCAATTTTCCATGCAAATTAATCAAATTTAGAAAATAAATAAACAAATAAATTATCTACATTATCCAGTTAACAGTTCTGAAAAATTAGTTTTAAATAAAAAGTTATTAATTATTTAAACTTTCATAGCGCCTAAATGTATGCAACCAAACTTACATACGCACTGGAAACCACATCAATTTGTGTCAATGTCTACTTTTAACCTCTGTAAACGTTGTTTCGTTACAGAAATGTGCAATTTAAACGCTGGAAGCTTAAATTATGACTCGCTCATTTCGTTCGGTTTCGTGTCGTTGCGTATCTTGCGCCGGATTAACGAGTTTTTAAAACTTTATTGGTCATTACTTGCGCGTAATTAAATTTACTTTACCATCGCTTCGTGCTGCGCTGCTTATCGCAGCGTTTTCTTCAGTTTTCCTTGCTTTGCGCGCGTTTTGAAGGACTTTTTTCTTCCAATTTGCGCTGCTTGTCTACAGTCGTATTGAATCGTGCCATGAACAGACGATCAACGCGTTCTTATAGCATCCTAAAGCAGTTTAAACGTTTAGTAAACTTTAATACGCGTTGTTTGTATTTTTTACGGGTGTGTTAAAACTATATGCAATTTATTTTCGCCGACATAATATTGAATATAAAAATTAATTTCGTTATTTATTTGGGATTAATTTGGTTGCATTGTATTCATAATGCATAAGCTAATTAATTAATTAATTTTTGCATATTTAATGCGTGCATTTATTTGATGATGCAGGCGCATTTCCCGCGCACGTTGTAAATTTTCCACACGAGCGCCCCGCGCATATACTCACACATATTCTAATTAAATTACTCGCGAATTTTACGTGCTGATGTATTATTTTTGTTTATTGACCTCAGCCGTTCTAATTCACGTCCGGGGGCCGCGACACTCGGGCCGAATTATAACAATTATTATTAATTAATTAATTATTAGCGAGTCGCATTCTCGTAGGCTTCAATTTCGAATGCAAACATTTAACCCGCCGCCCGAATAAATACCTGTCTGTCCAAGTCGGCAAATATTGTGCGTTATTAATCTGATAAACGCGTTGGCGCATTCTTTGACGAACGCTACGCAACAATTATAAGCTGTAGGCTTTAATTACGGTTAATTCACTTATGATATATACGCGCGCCGAATGTACGCCAGCGTTAAAATATTGAACGTTATGTATTTGCCGGACAATGCATAATTAATTGCTCGCAATGGTTTGCAAATGGCGCGCTGTTGCGCATCGTTTGTGTTTAATTATTTAATACCAGCGTGTGTGCATCGCGTTCTAGTCATTTGCTTTAGATTAATTGAATTTACCATCGTTGAATTTAGTTTATTCTATGTTGTATGTACTATGAACTATACGCTATTCTAAACAGCGACGTATGTTTGGTTGCATATTTACTCTGACCTGTTATAATATTGGTTTATCTTAAGCGATGCATTTTTTTAATTATTTTGATAACAATCGGTTGGCAAATGGATGAAATTAATTTTTTATCTTTTGAAACAGTGTAATTTCCTCGTTTTCAATAGATTTGCTTATGAAAAGTAAGTTATAATTAAAACCAACTATTAAATTACTGCTCCGCGGAGGATGGAAAAAAATGAGAAAAACCTGAGTTACTTTTTGTTTTTCATTTCCGAGTTGCGTTGAAATTCGAGTGGTGACTTCATTAACGTCATTACCGTGTCGTTCCGCGCGCGCGTTTCTTGTTTGCACCGACGAATATCTTCGCCGCCGACCCCGCGCGCGCACACTTCCACCACTCGTCGCTCGACGCGGTCTATTGGATCGTAATTGAAATTGTGTGCGGCATGACGGAATGAGAGATGACAGATTGAATATAATGCGTTTGCCTGTGTGCGCTTGGCAACCTGGGCGGCGGCGGCGGCTCCGGGGAAGTGAAAAAAACGCACGCGAAAAAACGAACGCCCCGAATGAAAATCCATTCCGCAGTCGAGTGCGCGACGAGCGACTAATGCGGAGCGTTTTACAATTTTCACAATGCGCCATGTCGAGCAGGCGAGCACACCGGATTCAAGCCCGTGTAACCGGATCGCTTTGAATGCGTTCGGTTTTTTTCTTTATCATTCACCTCTCTGGCATGGGACTGTAGGAGTGTATCCAGCGCACACGCATGTGAGAACAGAAAAACAGAATAAAAATAAAGCGTAAAACGAAGACTGCGTTTAGTATTGTGTGATTTTTCGCGCAGATTTTTGCGGTGTTTTCGTGCGCGAAGGATTCGAGAAGGCCGATGATAATCGAGCCTAATCGCAGCAGTAGTTGATACATGTTAGCCGTTATTCGATTACTGCCCAGCGTGGAGGAATCGATCGGATTTCCCGGGTTGGTCGGGTTCTCACGTGCACATAACTCATATTACGGGCACGGACGGCGTCCAGTCGGGCGGCGGCGGCCGCGGTGGAAAATCGCAACACGTCGAGGCGCGCCGAGCCTTTTATCACATTAGGCTCGGCTATTAGTTCGAAATATGCCGTGTGCGTGCCGGCATAAAAGGATTGCTTCAAATCTAATAACATTAAAATACATTCGTGTGCGTACACCTACGGAACGTATGTAATTCGAGTACCAATCAAGCCCAATTTGATTTATTTGGTTTTGCGTGGTTTTGCAAATTAGGATCTAACAGGTATAGGTAAACCATTGGAAATCATTTATTTGTCGGTTTTTGGGGTAGTTTACTTGTAGGAATAGCAAAACATATTTAATTTCTTAAACTTTGGAAGTTATGATAAAATTTTTCAATTCTTCTTCTTAAAATTTAGCTGAATTTTCATTAATTTCTCATCTAATAAACATGAAATGTCTTTGATTTTTCTTTTTAAGTTGATTTAAAACGAAAATAGTCATTTGATATGATTTTTCTACTTTCAGCACGTAAATTGCTCTAATTTATGCAATTTTATAAAGTTTTTTTTAATTTAATACTTGCGAATATAAATAGTTTTCCTATAAATTTTTCTTTCGGATTTATAATTAATTTAAGCTGTTTTTGGAGGCAAATTCCAGCATATCTCCCTAACAGACATTTGAGTCAAATCTTAGCTTAAAGTTACGTTAAGTCGTGTTGAAGTTTGGTTAGATAATCTTAAAGTGAGGTTAGTTTTCAAATGGCGATAAAACTTGCGCGTAAACCATGTAAACTCAGGCAAAATGCATTCCGCACCCTCTGCAGCATCCCAGCAACATGCAACCAGCGTGAAATGCAGCAGCAGAGTGAGTGTATGAAGGCTGTCGGCGTATTAAAGTTAAACGTAACTTATTACCCGCCGGCCGCCGACTTAGCTCGACTCTCTCGACTGCGACTCGACTCTGCCGCCTCCGCTGCCCCCACCACTGCCCTTATTTATTAAGTAATATCGAAATTACTCGACTGCAGCGCGTATAGATTATATCCAGCGCGCGATATGACCTAAATCCACTCGAACGCCCCAAAACCGGAAGTCACAAAGCGCGAAATTTCCGAGCTGGGAAATTTTTTATATATCTTGACATAAAAAAGTAAATACTATAAAAATCTGTATGTAAATAGGTTACCAGTTAGGTTATGGTATTTTGTTGTTTTATCCAGTTTGAGTTATTTTGTTATAAACACGAGCGGGACGCCGCCGCGCGCGCCCTGAATGCGTTATCAGCTTCGAGAGGGTGGAAATAAAAGCGAGCGCGCCGAAAAAAAGTGTCGATACTCGGAAAGTCGTTGGCTCTTTTTAAATATTAAACTTGTAAATAATCAAGCAGCGAAGCGTGCGTTCGACTGGCCATGCCCGGACGTACACCCTGGATTACGGCGCTACGGCTCATCCTTCACGAGTCCTCGTTCAATAACAAAAGACGCGATAAAGTACAAAGTAAAAAAACATGGTGTTACAAATAGAAATTTTTAAATAACACAAGTTTTTCAGTAGGACTATGTGCAAACTATTAATATTTTGCACAAAAGTGCAAAAAATCTTGTTTCGGCTCGTATTACTGAGTAAATATTAATTTACTTTGTCATTTTAACTTTGTGCAAGTTCATTATTTTCACATTTAGTAAAAAAGATAATTTTTTCACCTCCTGTGTTGTTGTATATCCATGGCGCAAGGGCGCAAGTCGGGTGAGTCAATGGCATTATTTATTTAAGCTAACCGTGTGCAACGGCGAAAAAGTCTTCGGGCCCAGTCACAAACTGATGTCATTAAAACTTTTTAACTCAAGCGAGACGAGCGCGGGGGCGGTATAGGGGTAAGGTGGTGCCCCGCGAGAAGTTTCTCTCGAAGGACTCGTCGCTCCTCTCTTGAATGCATCAAGCTAACTAATTAATGTAACACAAAGTCGAGTCGGGGCTTGCAAATGCGAGTTGTGAATTTACGCTGCGCTTTTCAACATTTCAACATTTGAACTTTCAATTTATATTGTTGCACGCGCAAAAAACTGGCTGCTGACTAGCTGGCAAAGTCCGAAGCGTAAAGCTTAATTTAATGTGCTTAATTTTTTTATCATTAGTTGCAGTAAAGTGATTTGCTTGTTTTGGTCAAATCTAAGTTTATGCTTCTGTTTCTGTTTTCTGCAAAGCGGTTTAGGACACTAATTAACTCTGTTTTTCGGCTGGTTGGTGTAATCCTTTTGTTTGGAGCGAAATTATTTTGCTTTCGGCTTTGTGGAACGTGAGCACCCGCTGGGTTTAAATGAAAAAATATTTTTTAAAGATTTCGCATTTTAATGCGTTCAGCGGCTCGCTTGATTACATTTCAACCCCGTGGAGTCTACCGGCGGAGGGTGCTGACATTGTGTCGCCGCGCGGCTTAGGAAGATATAAGATTTTCTTTCACGTAACAACAATGCGGCACGGTTTCACGACTCGAGGGAGGTTTTAGCGACGACAGTCATTTGATCCTTGCCGAGGGATCAAGTTCGATCACCCAAAACGCTCTTTTCGGAAAGCGAAGCTATAGCTAATGCGCACCACCCCCGCCGCCGCCGCTGCCGTCTGAACAACAATGCGGGACGCATGAGTTTTATTTTTGACAAAAAGTTTATGCATGTTGTAGAATGGTAAATTGTAAAAAATGAAACTTAAAGCTGCAACTAAATTCCAACTCTCGGGTTTTGCAGCTGAGCTGTGCTGCAAGTTGTAATGAAAAATGTTGTCTTACATTAGAAGCGCTGCTAGGGGTAGTTATGTAAAGCGGAGAACGCGCCCGTCTCCACCTCGACCTGCGTGGAAAATTTTAATTACGTTACTCGCCGCGTTTTGTACGAAAATAAATTCCGCCGCGAAGAAAACCAGCATCTAGGAAAAATTAAGCAAAAGGAAGTTGTTTGTAGCGTACTTTGTCTTTGCGGTGTGAGGGTAGTAAACTAAAACTCAAACTGCTTTTTAGAAAAGGGCTTAAAATGTATTTTGTGTTTCAAACTTTACATTTTTCTTTGAAATTGCATAAATTACGAATTATGGTGGTATTACTTTCAGTGTGTAAACAAATTATTTTACGCACTTGTGCTCAAAACTCTTATTTTACGCACCTAATATTAAAAATGTATATTTTAAATTAGTAAAATGGAAGATTTAAGAAAACACTTTATGATTTTTAATTGCATTAATATCATCATCCCTCTTTTGGGTTCTGGGGCACTGGGGATAGCTATCGGCGAATCTAATGACATTAAAAGCGGTGATAAAGATCTCGCCCTACCGCCATCGGACATGAATCAGATGCAGAAAGGGGAGCCCCCAGGAAGAATTAGATTATGACTTTTTTCGCCCTTGCCTTAGACTCCCGCATGTAGATTTATCCCTTTACGCGCCGGAGACGTCACGCTTTTAGCGTTTTATGACGACAAGACAGCGGGACAAAGGGATCACAATATGCTAGCCGCCCTGCGCCAAAATGTTTCAATTTTCCGAGGGTGGTGGCGCTGTTTATGTCTCCCAGAGTGTGACACGACACATCGGATTGAAAGCGATGCGTTTGCAGTGCGAAAATGAAACGCAATAAATTAATTAAGGGTTGACTATTATTACATGTAACGCACCCCCTTGTGCGTACTGCACACGCCCCTACAGACCCAAATATTACACCCGGAAAGGTGATAAATCCTTATTCGGATTGAAACAAAATTTTCTCTTTTTTTTTTCTTCCCTTGTTTTTTATACGTGGAAAATTCTTGTAGTGATAGAACTCTATTGTTTTCTTTTGATTGCACAACCGAAAATGTACTGCTTACACTATAAATGTGCTAGTAACACAGAGGGGTTGAAACTTCGATCACATTTTGGCATTGCTGAAGCGTTCGCTATTAACTATTATCCACACATTCAATTATGTCGGAGCGTTCACGCCTTCGACGAAATTCAAGAAAGTCTAAGAGGGTGCCAATACGTTGAGAGGGGTGCAAACTATTAATCTATTTCTTGGAGCGAACATAATCGACTAACGCGGGACGCACGCCCCGAGTCACGTTTTTCATTACAAAATCGCAACAAATTCCGCTTGAGTAATTTTTCAACCCTTAAATAAACCGCAGCCCTTAATCAAACTTTGCGACATATTTATTTTTTTGGTGATGTTAATTCTATCGATACACTCTGTTTACGCTCTACAAAGTACTTAAATGGGTTTGAAGGGGTTGGTCCGGGGGTTGGAGCGAATACAACCGGAAAAACATGCATTTACGAGTTTGCGCCGGGCGAAGAGGGAAAATAAAATTATCACTCTCGACGAAACAAATTGCCGGAATTTATTTCGTTTCTTGCAAGAGCGCGCTGAAGGGCGAGCCGGAATCATCGGCGATGATGATAATGAAGTCGGGAATTTACGGGCTGCGCACACGCAAATTCGCAAATTTTAACGTTTTTCTCGCGTCGGCATTCAGGGCCGAAATGTGAAGTAATATTATTTGCCTCTTGCGTCCTGCCTTTTCTTTCCTCACACTACCATACATTCACCTCCGAAGGATATTCTGGTGGCATTGTTCTCTGTAACTCAGTTGATGAGCGAAGTTGAGGGGTGGAATTTCGCCCAGTCGGCAGTTTTAGCATTTTTGCATTTCGCGCGATATTAATTTCTGTTTTTCTTTGACTTGCTTCACAGGAGAGTGCCGTGCGGCGCTCGGGATGGAAGAGGGGAGGATTCCGGACCATGCCATTTCGGCGTCGTCCTCCTACGAGGCCAAATCGGTCGGACCACAAAATGCCAGGTAAGTGTCTTCAAAATAAAACTTAAAAATCCTGATTGCTATGGCAAAATATGACTCGGCCATTATTATTATGGGGTTGAAGCGTCGGGCGAGCGTCTCGAGATTGAACTTGGAGTCCTTTCGGGGGTGGACCCACCGCGTTTAGATTTATGACGCATGAAAATAGCTTCTCGTTCTTTCTCGGCTATGTAGATGAATGTTTCGCATTTGCTACCAGGGCAAAATGAATGGCGCAACAATTTTATACAGGGTCGTATTAATATTTTAAATATTTTCAAGTTTATATTTGCCTAAGTCATAAAATCTTGTATTTATGTTTGATAATTTGTTGTTTGGAGTATTTTGCGTTTTTTATGCTAACATTTGAATACGGCGCTGGTCCTGGTGGTTTAAAATATCCCAGGCCATTAGTTGCTTTTGCATCCACTATATGTCGCGTCGCAGGACGTTAATGTCCTATCGTCGCGCGGCATCGGCTCGTTGGACGCGGCGCGCCGCGTGCACGAGATTCCAGCGAGCGCCACTAATATGCCCGCGCGTATGCCATCAGTAACCATTTCGCCGTCGGCCCCGACCCCGGCCAGACATTACTGTCTAACCGATACAAAACCATTTCGCCATCGCCAGCCGGGGCCAGAATTTAATTGACCGGAACGTGCATTACGCCCTGTCCTATCATTTTTCTCTTCTGGTGGTGTATTTTTTTGTCATGGTGCCCACAATCCTTTTTTTCGCAACGAAAATGTAGTCATAACATAATGATCCTTGTGCGGATGTGGCTGGGAGCTCCGCCCACTTGAAACCTAAGCTAGTGGAGCAGCAAGTGGATACAGATAAAGGCAACACAATTCACACAGAGAGACCTGAAACCACCTCTTATTCTCTTGGAATAACAGTTATCTCACTGCGAAAACTATGATGGAGCGTTTTATGTACCAGTTCAAATTTAATTAACTGCTACCCGTGACTAAGGGATGTGTGGGTACTTCATAGTGACTCCAGTTACTAGAAGGGGCTGTTTGTTTGGCCAGGTGCGTGTTGGGTAGTGTTGGCGTTGTCTTTTTCGCATCTCGGATCGTGATCCACGTATATACGCGAGTCTAAACTTTGAGCGTTTTGAGTGTCTGGCAACCCGTGCCATACGCGGTTGAACCCTCGTCCGGGTGGGCGTTTCAGCACATTCGGGGAAGTCGTAAAATTAATAATGAACGTATGCCAGAAGCGCGGAACGCGCATCCGGATGAGACCGGTCATATCTATGTTTAATTAACACGCACGCACATTTCCGAGGCTTGCGGGTGTGGGGAATAGGGCTGGCTTTACCCAACATCCGCTTACAGGATGTTACCGCGACATCTCGACGAATTTATGAAATAGAATTAGTCCGTTTGTAGTCGGCTGCAGGTGGAAGCTGTAGATTGTGGGCAATGGCTCGGAAGATGGTCGAGGAAGGGTGGCGGGTGGTTGTGTCGAGAGGATGGCGGAGGCGGTTGGCCGGCTTCGCACTTTACTCTTTAATTTGCAAATGGAGTGCCGCTAACGCAGTTAGACGCGCGTCCAGGAGCGCGGACGCGCGCGGATGATCAAAGCGCCACTGCCACCCCCATTTCGGGCGCGTATAGTAGGTTTGTGCACCTTTGCGACGCGGCGCCTTTGTGCAACTAGCAGCTCTGCGCCGGAAACCGCAACGCTAAACTGCAGTCTGCGCCTGTGGAATCCGATTTTCGTCTTTCGGAAGCGTTTCTATTGGTCGATTCAAGCACAATCACTGTGCTTCTAATACCTTCATTATCTACAGCATTTCCATATTTGATGTTAACTATAGGCTTAAGTTGAAAGAAAAATGCAACAGATGGCTCTAACCCGTAGGCGTGGTCAATAGTACATAGGCGGAGCTTAATTCCGCTGAATTTAGATTTATTTTATCTATGTGTAGTAGTTGAGTTTATGTTTATCAAAAGTGTGATGTGTGTGCGATGTCGGTTGCCATTTCACAATTGCAATATCGCTTTTGTTGTTCGTCGGCGGCGGCGTTTTGCGACACGGAGTTGCTTTTAGCTCCGGACTGGAGAGCGCATTATGCGAACGAACGCGAGACGCGCCCGGCCGGAGGAAGGAAGCGCGAATACTCGAACGCCGACAGACGAAGAGACGAACGGGCGTGTAATTAATTCGCTTCGCGCAGTCACGCGGATCCGGCATCATCGTCGCGCCGCCATTAAACGCATTAGACATCATCGCATCCGTCGCGCATCGGCTAGACAAACACTGAGTGGCAAATAACTCACAATAAGCACTTAAAAAAAATCACAAACTGTACATATTTATATTTTTATTCATTTTTTAAGGGTTTTATGACGTTTTTTCTGCTGTGGTTTATATTTTTATGTTTGTGGCCGCACGTGCACACGTGACGCAAGCATTAAAAAAACCCCACGGCAATAAATACGTGACTTTTTATTTTTTGGGGTTGCTGCGTATACGTGCACAAATAAGTTTGAACAAAGTTTAAACCCTAAACCCTTTCGCAAACTCTGGAAGTTTAAAATATTGTTACACACTATTTGCTTGAATTGTGAGCCGTTTGATAGAGTGTTAATCTGGGTTTTGCTTATTCAACGCCCCGAGGCATTTGAAGACGTCTTTCCATCAACTTGCATTTCCTTGGCGAGCCTGGGGCGATCTAGGCATTGAGCAATCAACACATTCATCTATTACACTATTTGCCACTCCACGGGCGTACCCTGTTGGCTTGCTTCAACTTGAACGCATTCCGCCAGCGCCAACTATTCAATTACACAATAATATTATTTAAGTTTCGGGACGCAGCTGAATTTCAAGCAAACTTTGGCCGTCGTCGGCTTGTGATCAAAGAATGCATATATACGTATATATAAACACATACAGTGTGTTTGTTTGCAACTGACTGCAATTTGTTTGGAGATATATTCGGCGTGATCCTGTAGATTATAAGCGTATAATGACTAACATCTAATAGCTTGCGCGGGCAGACAAAAACAATGGGTGTCGAAATGCCGAGAGGCACCAAGAGGCACCAAGACGGAGTGTGAGACACTTAAAACTTGAGTCCGAACAACAATTATCCTCGTTTCGACGATTGCCGAGTGAAATCCTGCCATCCGAACTTTGGTTTCAACCATCGTGCGAACAAAGCCCCGGCGGGCATCAAGTCGAAATTCTTAGAATTTGTGATTTTTGTTCCGAATATAAATCTTCTTTTCCAAGTTTAATTCGTAATTGTTAAGGTATCAATTGATTTCTTTTTTATTCGGCGTATAAAAATTGGTTTGCATTGTTCGTAGATGGGGTGTTATAAAGTCTGGTGCCAGTATATCCTTATTTGTTTGGGGCTCGTTTTGGCGCACGTTTTCGCCCCGAAAGCGAATCGAGAAAATCCTGATATATTACGCTTAAGCACATGAAGTCATTTGGGTTCACACTAAAATTTTCGCCCAACTGTGCTGAAAAATAGGTCGTGGTTCTTTGAAAACCACCACCGCAGTTCCTTCAGATTAAACCGAATCTATTTCCGACCGGTTTTATGTTCGAAAGTTTTCGCACTTTTTTCTGTGTTTTATGTGTGTGTGTTCTTGATTGCGTTGATTTTAATCTTTCTGCAGTAATTCGGCACGCGTACGAATGCAGTACATATCTGGTTATATCATGTTCTGGAGCAGCATGGGGGTGGGAATGCCGTTAAGCGTCGAGCTGGCGCGCGTCCAACGCGACAAGCACGCCAAACGCTTCCGGAACGTTTCAATCCTGTCGCATTTCGCGACTGCATGCATATTGCGCACAATTGCAGCCGCCGACGTTCGTAATTGTTATTGGCACAAATGGTGGTGCACCCACAAACGCGCGCGTGATTTACAATTTCGGTAATTTCGACGATTAGCGCGAAACAGCCGAACAATGACAGCGCCAGCGCGCTGAATTTTCTATCGATGAAGCGCGTGCCAGTGGTGATTTACGTAAGGTCACTCGATTTCGACTTAAATTCCAAAGCACGAGGGCCTGAATGTTGGAAGTCTGAAAAAGGTCAGAGTCACTCTGGCCTCATTTGGAGGCTATTCAAAAAACGGGCGTGAAACGCCCGGATCGCGATCGTCCGTAGAGATTCGAGATTTGCAAATGCTCTCCACGAATGCACACATTAGGCCACCTCGTTTTTTTTTCTTCTCCTACATCGCTTTCAGCCATTTTCGCACCCTTCGCGTGCCGGCACGTACTCGACGCGTGCGTGTAATCCAAGCGATCCAAGTGGTGGAGACGTAAAAATGTATTCAGCATTCAATTCGATGAATATTTCGGGCTCTTCAAAAGCCCCCAAAACGCGTCGAGTACTCTGAGAAGTCAAAAAGTGCGAGAGGAATAATCCATTTGTACATCAAAGCTAAGAAAGCTCTGCGCCTTTGCCAAGACTCTCTCGAGAGGGAGTGAAATTTAAACGGCGGAGGAAATTTAACAAGTGATTAGATTTCCCACTCGGTTTTACACGCCATTTGAACATCGCATGCCTTTGGGCAACACTTACAGTTAAGTTTTGCCCGTTTTGCATTTTCATATTAATATTCACCTGCATGCCGATACCAATATATATCGGATGAAGTGGCTGGACGATGAGCAGATGAGCCACTCGAGCGAGTGTTGCACGAGTGCCCGAACGCACATTAGCCGGATACTAGTACCACGGTGCGTCGTCGTGTGGAAAGTGGAAAATCAACATTGGTGACCTACTCTCGTCGCTCGTTCAAAACATTCGACGCCCGCCCGCCCGCTTTTCATACTCTAGCAACGCGCACGAATTTCGCGGCGTCAATGCACCGCGCGGCGCGTGTCGCTAAAATGAAATTTATTCAAGTGGGCGAATCCAATTAGCGCCATCCACGTTTCGACATGTACATGTGTGCGCGGTGCCAAAACAGTTTAATTGGATTATGTTTTCTTCGGTTCAATTTTTTCCAACATATAAAATTGTT